CGCGTGGTTTGGGAAGGCCTTGAGTCTAGGAATGCGTTTACATTGACACGATTGGGTTTGGAAGAACTGTGGTGTTAAAAAGCACCCCCCGTCCTAGCCCAAGCGTTTTTCTATGCAGAATCCGGCCTAACCCCGCAATCCGTCCGAACCCATGCCGTGTCTATGCAAAACCTTTTCCAACACCGGTTTGCCAACTCAAGCGTGTTCTATGGAAAACCTTGTCTAGTTCCAAAGCCTTCCTCAAACCAAAGGCGTTCTAACCTTCCTAACCTCAAACTCCTTCCAAGCCCACGTTGTCTATGCAAACTCCTTCGTACCACAGAAACCCCACCAATCCAAGCGTTGCCGAGTTGAAATCGTTCCTGACTTCAAAGACCGTCCCAGCCACGCGCTTTCTAGTTAAACCCGTCCCAACCCAATAATATCCTCACCCAAGCGATTATTGTGTAAACCCATGCTTGATTGCTAAGTTCTTCGCAAGCCGAGGGTTCCCTATGTGGAATCATTCTCAATCCCAGCACAATGCCAACACAAGCGCGTCCTATCTAAGATCCTTCCTAGTCCCAGCACCCTTCGAGTCTATGCGTTTTCTAATCAGACTCCCTCCTAAGCGTTTCCCCAGCCCAGCTTTTTCCCTAGCCCATCGTTCAGAATCCCTCCTAAGCGGTTCCGGTTCAGAAGTCATTCCCAGATCAAGCTTTTGCCGTGTAGAACACATCTTCACATCACAATCCTCTCTAACCCATGCGCGTTCAGTGCAAATTCATTCCTAACCGCACAGACCGTCCCAATCCAAGCGCTTTTTTATAGCAAAAACATCATAACCCTAAAACCCTTTCTGACACAAGCGTGTTCTATATAAAGCCCGTCCTATCCCCGAAGCCCTTCCCAGTCCATGCGTGTTTTATCGAAGACGCCTACGGCGAATCACCGCCGCCCCCTGCCTTTGTGGAAGCGCCTATGTGGCCGAACGTTGAGGCCACACCTGCCAAGCCATCGGACCATGTGTTCCCCGACTCGGTTTGGAAAGCCTTCGGGGAACACGTGGGCGTCTTGATGGTCATCGTCGCCGTCTTGGAGGCCTCTTGGGCGATCTTTCGGCGATCTTTGGGGGCTCTTGGGCCGTCTCGGGCCGTCGGAAGGCCGAAAAAAGGGAAATGCCCAAATCCAGCAAAAACCTTGGGAAAATCAGTGATTTTGGCATCTTTTGGCCTTCCTGGAGGCCCTCTTGGGGGCCTCTTGGGCCCTTTTGGGCCAGCTTCGAGCCAACTTCGGCCATCTTGGTGGGTTCCTGGCACGTCTGACGCCGTCGGGAGCCGTTTTGGGGGCCTTTCTGGGCCAACGGGGGACCCTCTTGGGGCGCTCCAGGGCCGTCTTGGAGGCCATCTTGGGCGTCTTGGAGGCCATCTTGGGCGTGTTGGAGGCCTCTTGGGCCGTCTTGGGGCCCTCTAGGGGCCATCTTGGAGGCCACTTGGGCCATCAGGGGGCTCTCTTGGGGGCCTCTTGGGCGATCTTGGGGGCTTCTTGGGCCGTCTTGAGCCGTCGGAGAGCCGAAAAGGCGCAAATGCCAAAATCCTTCAAAAACCAAGGGAAAATCAATGATTTTGGCCTCTTCGGACTCTCCTGGAGGACCTCTTGGAGGCCTCTTGGGCCGTCTGGGAGGCCTCTGGGGGGCCTCTTGGGCCGTCTTGGGCCGTCTTGGACTCTCTTGGGCCGTTTTGGAGGCCGTCTTGGACCATCTCGGGCGGACTTGGAGGCCATCTTGGGCCATCTTCGCGATTTTTTGAGGATGTCCCGAGCGAAACGGCCGTTTTTGGAGGATTTTGTTCGGGATTGAGGTGTTTTCGGCTTCCTCCCGGGACCCCGGCGGGACGGGCCGGAGCCCACTGGGGAGTTCTTTTGGAAAAAGAACCAAAACCAAAACCTGACAGCTCGTCCAGCACGCCGTGCACCCCTGCAAGCAGGGGGCGGCGGATACCAAATTGCCTTTGGCCCATCCCGCCACCGTGCCTGGGTTGTGGGGGTGAAGCATAGTTGATGTTCGTTGGGATCTCATGGGAGGTTTCTTGGGGGTCTCTTGGAGGCAGTTTTGGCGCCTCTTGCGGGCCGGTTGGAGACCTCTTTTGGGCCTCTTTGAGGCTTTTTGGGGACCTCTTGAGAGCTCCCTGGGGGGCCTCCTGGTCGCCTCTTGGGGCCTCCTGCGGTCCTCTTGGGGCGGAAGACTCGGATTGTCAGTTCGTGTTCCCTCTTTGGGGCTCCTTTTGGGGCCGTCTTGGGGCCCTCTTGGGCCGTTTTGTTTTGGGCGCCTATTGGGCTGTCTCGGGGCCCTCTTGGTCCGTTTCGGGGGCGGTCTTGGGGGCCTCTAGAACCGCCTGGGAGCGTCGGGAAGCCGAAAAGGCGAGAACGCCAGAACAATTCAGAAATCTTAGGAACATCAGTGATTGTTGCCTCTCGGGGCCCTCTGGGAGGCCTCTTGGAGGCCTTTTTGGAAGTCTTGGAAGCCTCTTGGGTCGTCTGGGGGCCATCTTGAGCGTCTTGGAGCGATCGTTCGGCGACTCGGGGTCTCCTTGGACCGTCTTGGGGACTTCTCGGGGCCCTCTTGGCCCGTCTTGGGGCCCTCTCGGGTCCGAAACAGTAATGCGACAAGACGCGGGGGAACGCGGCCGACAAGGGCCGCCCTGGACGACTTGGCCCGAACCCCTCAAGAGTGACGGCTCAGGCTCAGAGGGGTACGGCAGGTTCGCGTCGTGTCGACCGGCGGCGACCCCAGCGCGTGCGTTTAAGGTTGAACGCCGTTTGTGGCCCAGAATCGGCCGATCCTTGAACGATCCGGCCTTTTTGAAAGCGCTGATCATTCAAGGTTGAACGATCCCCGAGGTATCAGGAACCAACGCCGGGGTCGACACGACCCGAAACTGCCGTAGTGGAAGAACCTGTGAACACGCCCACGCCGTGCCGAGCAGCATGTTGACAGATGCACCCGCGCGTAACCTCAAACATATCCCCAGTTCAAGCAATTTCGATGCAAAATTTCGAACCTGTCCTAACCCAAGGATGCTCTATATTCGAATCCTTCCTAACTCCAGAGCCCTTCCAAACCCAGGCCTTGTGTGGGAAATCTTCGCGGGTCCCAAAACCCTTCCCAACCTAAGTGTTTTCGATACAGTAACTTCCCTGACGCCAAAAGCCGTCCAAACCAAAGCGTGTGCTATATGACTCTGTCGTTGCCCGCTCTTTCAGCGCATTGAGAGGCAGCTAGCAGCTTAACCATTCGTATCTGGTGGTGTTGATTGCTTATCCTCGCTGGCTGTCTCTTCGCATGATTGCACTTTCAAATTGCTGGGAGGCTCTCGTGGATTGTCTCCACCCCCTGGGCCCTGGTGTCGTGCTGGATTCACGCTTGGCGAACGCAGGTGGTTTGGTGATGCCGTTTGTGGACGGTGTCTCTGTCGACGACGGGCATCTTTCGTGCCCGCACAGCTGGTGCGCGTGCTCGTGTGCCGCTCCCTGGGCTTCATCCTGCGTCGCCACGCACCAGTGCCCGCCTGCATCTGCAGCTGGCGTTGTCCCATCCAGGTCACGAGGCGTTGCAGATTCGCTGGTGCTTCGAGGTGTTACTACATAGAGCGTCGGGTTGATGCAAGCGACGGCAGTGGACGCGCCACTGCCTAATGACGTGTTCTGGTTGGTTTGGGCATCATGCTCATGCGATTGTGCTGCCATTTCTCAGCGCGTGTTCGTTGCATGCCATCCTGAACCAATCGGCGGTTCGCGGAAGGGAAGTGCGTGCGTTTGTGCGTGCACGTTTGCCATGTGTGTTGTGTGTGGTTTGTCCTGTATACTGTGTTTGCGCGTTCTGGGATGTGTTCTTTGCCATCTCTAGTGCACCCAGCTTCCTGCAAACAAAAAACGCCACCGTGCCAGCGCAGCACACACATTCAAGCACGACGGTTTGAGCCGCTTGGGTGCTTCTGGAAAGCCCCCTGGGAGCATGTCGGGGTGGGGTTCTTATGGGTCGTGTCTGGGCACAACGATTCTACCGACCAGGCTCAAGAGGCTCGAGCCGACCGCCCAGGGGCCATCTGGTCGGATCTTTGGGACTGTCTGGGAGCGTTCTTTGAAACTCATCGGGCTGGTTAGGGATTGACTCGGGACATTTTGAGGGCTTGTTGGTGCCATCTGGGGTCGCATTGGAGCTCTACCAGGCTTTTTCGAGGCCACGCAAGGCCGAATAGTCTGGGTGGCGGGGTCGGAAACAAAAGCAAACAATCCTGACTGTAGCGTGCCAGGGCTGTGCTGGGTAACTCCTTGAGCGCCTAGGGGGGTTATGTAGCGAGGCATGTCTGGGAAACATATCGGCCCCTCTGGGAGACGTTCGGGCATATCAGGCTGGTCTTGGGGCATCCTGCAGCCGTCCTGCAGTCTGAGGGTCGGTCTTGCACCGTTTCTGCATTGTCTTGGGACAGCGAAGTCCAGCAGGGAATGCCATGAGGCTGGCGGTGTCGTCCGAGCCGCGGCGCCGGGGTCGCCCCTGGCGGCGTGCCGAAGAAGCCTCACCAGCCAACCGGCATGCATTCCGACACCACCCCAAGTGTGTGCCGAGAGCGCCGCGCGGTGGGCTCTCTGGAGGAGGATGAGGAGGAGGAGGAGGAGGAGGAGGAGGAGGAGGAGGAGGAGGAGGAGGAGGAGGAGGAGGAGGAGGAGAGGAGGAGGAGGAGGAGGAGGAGGAGGAGGAGGAGGAGGGGGGGGGGGGGGGGGGGCGCGCGCCGATCCCAGAGAGCCTCGCGGAGCTGCGAAAGCGTGTGCGGCTGTGCAGCTGTCGCCTCCTCGAGCTGCTGCGGGGGTCGCTCATTTGGTAGGCCGAGGGCCCTCAGTGTGTGCTGCTCGCTGGCTGCCGGGGTGCTGGGCGTGCCGTGCTGGGTGCTCAGCGCCGCGTGCTGCGCGCCCGCGCGAGGGCGGGCGGGCGCCCAGCGCCGCGTGCGCGCCCGCGGCCGCCTGGGCTCCGGGCGTCTGCGAGCTCGCGGGGGGGCGAAGTCCGGCCCCGTCCCCACCCAGCTTCGCGGCGCGCGTCGGCCGTGCCGCCCCCGGGCAGCGTGCAGGGGCCAGGGGCCGCGGCGGGCAATGGCCGCGGGCTGGGCGCCCCGGGGGCAGGACCCCGAGAAGATGAAGGCGGCGCCCTGGGGGCGGCAATCGATGCTCCTCCGCCTCCTCCTCCTCCTCCTTCCTCCTCCTCCTCCTCCTCCTCCTCCTCCTCCTTCCTCCTCCTACTCCTCCTCCTCCTCCTCCTCCTCCCTCCTCCTCCTCCTCCGCCTCGTCCTCCTCCTCGAGAGGGGAGGCATGTTGCCAGATGACTCCCAGATGTCTGAAACATGCTGAGAACATGCCTGAACCGTGTACAGCACATGTCTGAACCATGCTTAGGACATCTGTCAAACATATTCAGCACATCTTGAATTCAATGATGGGATTGTTAGGGTGTCCAGTGTCATGGCATCCACACAAGGCGATGCTCGAGGTATACCGCGCAGAGGCCGACGTGCTGAAAGAGCGCCTGGCGGACGGCCACCGCGAGGTCGCGAGCCTGCGCTCCAGGCTGCGCGACGCGGAGGGCGAGCTGCTGGTGACGATGAATGAACAGTGAACATACAATTTCGACGGTCCGTTTGGATTTCTTGGATTTGCACAGGAGCCGCCTCCCTGGCGCGCCGGCCCTGGCGCGTTCCGCGCGCGCCAGGGAGGAGGCTCCAGTGCAGATCCAGAGAGATCCGCGCGGAGCTCCGAACGTTTCTGATGATGCCGTTTTCGGTTCCTCGATCCTCGTCTTCGCTGTCGTCGTCGGCGGCGTCGTCGTCGTGGGCTCGCCGCCAAAGGTGGCGCACCAGGCCACCAACACGGCCACCGAGCGCCTCGGGCTCCACGCCCAGCGCCACGGGCTGGTGCTGGCCGCGGGCGTGGAGCGCATCGGGGCGGAGCGCGCCACCCTCGAGGACGAGCTCCAGCGCATGGAGCAGGTGCTCTCCGAGCGCGACCAGGCGGGGCCCGTGTCAATCCGACCGATGCCCGTTGCGATACAGTCAGGGCGCTGAAGAAGGAACCCTTCTCGTTGGGGAGGGGCTCGGTGTTCCTTGATTGTTTTACAGCTTGGCTTAGGTTTCCCTGAGGTTTTCGATGGGAAATCGAATCTTAACTTTTGGGATCACGGGGCCTCGTTCCTTATTTAAGAGGTTCCTTAGGTCAACGCCCCGACTGTATCGATTTCGGCCAGTTTGGCCCGATTCGATCGCGTCGATATCGCTATCGATGTGGATGTCGATATCGCTATCGGATCGCTATCGATGCCGGCTGCGATATCGATTCGTCCGGTTCGATTCTGGCCAGGTTGCGACATCGATTTCGGCGCCCCGCTGATCGGATGCGGCTGGAAGCTTGCACGGCGTTGTTGCGCATCCTGGTGCAGCCGATCCGACTCGACGCCGACTCCGTGCCGATGCGGCCCGATTCGGCGCACGTTCCGGTGCGATACGATTTTCCGATTCGGTGCGCGACCAGGCAGGGCCTTTGTGGGCCTTGGAAACGACAGGGCCGTTTTTTTACCGGTTCCGTTTTGCCGTTTTTGTTGCCGGTTCCGACGCCGTGCCGTTTTTTGACCGGCTCCGGCTCCCTTTCCGATCCTGCGTAGCCGTTTCTGGTCGCCGTTCCCGGTCTCCGTTTTTTTGCCGTTTCCATTTTCAAGGGACATTTTTGGGGAAACGGTGAAATTCGGAGCGTGAATTACCTACCCCGCTTTCGCTTCCAGGCAAAGCCAAGTCATACCATGCGCCTCCCCGTCAAGCGGCCTGACCAGTACAGGTCGTAGCTTGGCATCGCTTGGTATCTCTTGGAAGCGAGGGTGGTTAAAAGCGAGGTAGGTTTGTTTGCCCCCTAGAAAAACCAGCCCTGCCGCTTCCGGGGCCCACAGGGGGCGGGGCAGGGCCCACTTCGCCTCGGTCGAGGCGAGCCAGGTCGACCGCGGGGACGCCGATGTCGCTCCGATCCGGCTCCGAGGCTCGCCCTCGGCGTGGGCTCCTCCGACTCGACGCCGACTCCGTGCCGAGGCGGCTCCGCTTCGACGCACGTTCCGATGCGGTACGATTTCCCGACTCGGTGCGCGACCAGGCAGGGCCCCTTTCGCCTCGGTCGAGGCGAATCGGCCCGATTCGACGCACGTTCCGATACGGTCTGATTTCCCGACTCGGTGCGCGACCAGGCAGGGCCCACTTCGCCTCGGTCGAGGCGAGTCGGTTCGATCGGGGGAGCGAAAGACCCAGGCTTGCCAGGACTCGGCTTCGCCATCGTTTGTTGGCGACCGCGCCTCGGATTCTGACGAGGAGGAGTTGCGTGGGATGTCTGCAGCGGGAGGCCTCGTCAAGATGCAGGCCCGGCCTCGTCATTTTTCTGACGACCTCGTCGGGGATTTCCGAGCCCCCCGTACCCGGGTCTTACGTCCCCCCTGGCTCGACTTCGGGGGCGCCGACGGCGCTCCGATGCGACGCTCCGAGAGAGGCTCGCCCTCGGCGCGGGCTTCTCGCCGCGTGCGGGCCTCGGCCTTGGGCCGCTGGGGCGGCGGTTCCCGGCGCCGTGCGGCCTGCCCTCGGCACGAGCGGCACGGGCACGGAGAGAATCGGTACTCCAGATTTCGTGAGAAAGGGAGGGGGGTCTCATTTCGGGGGGGGGTCTCTTCCAGGCTATCTTGGAGGGCCTGGGGGGTCTGGGGACGATGTTTTGGAGGGCTCTCCCACGGGGGAGGTCTGAAATGGCTTGTCTTGGAGGGTCCAGACCCCGGGGGGCCGGGCGAAAGGGGGGGATTGGGAAAGGGGGGGTTACGAAATTTGCTGCATGCAGCTGGTTTCGGCCCCACCGAGGGGCCCATCCTCGACACACAGCCGCCTCCGGCGCCGGGAGGCGCCGGGAAAATGAGCTGCGTGAGCTGATTCTCAATCCCCCCCTTTGCTATCCCCCCCTTTCGCCCGGCCCGAGATGCCCAACAGCAGTTCCTGTTCATTTTGAACAGGACTCGCTGTCCGCGCCGCCGCGGCCTGTGTCCATTCGAGACAGGGGGCCGCCTGCCCAACAGCGGCCGCTGCCGGTGTGGGACAACACTTGTTGTTGGGCGTTGTACCCATTTTTTCCGTGCCCATTTCGGGCGTCCAAATGCCCGTCTGCTCGACGTGTCTTCGATTGTCGGCTCGATTTTCCGCTTCTCACCACCCACCAAACCACCCCAACCCAACCCGAAGGCTTCAATCTGCCCTCCTTTTCCAGTGGGGGGGGGGGTCGGGGAACACTGACAAAACGCATGAAACCCGTACCCCTCCCCCCTCAACCCGATTTTTTCAGGTCGAATTCGGGTCTGCGGGTCGGGTTGGGGTGGTCTGGTAGGTAGTCCGCTTCGACCTTGGGGCCGCTCTGCCAGGACATCGCCCGCCTCCGCAAGGAGGCCCGCGCGCTCGAGGCCAAGCACTTCCACAGCGAGATGGAGCTCCAGGGCCTCCAGGCGGCCAGGGCCGCGGCCGGAGGGCCCTCGGCCTACCAGATGAGCGACCCCCGCAGCAGCGCGAGGAGGCGACAGCTGAACAGCCGCACACGCTGTCGCAGCTCCGCGAGGCTCTCTGGGATCGGCGCGGCCCGCCCCCCTCCTACTCCTCCTCCTCCTCCTCCTCCGCCTCCTCCTCCTCCTCCTCCTCCTCCTCCTCCACCTCCACGTCCTCCTCCTCGTCCTCCTCCCTTTCCTTCTCCTCCTCCTCCTCCTCGTCCTCTCCTCCTCCACGTCCTCCTCCTCGTCCTCCTCCCCTTCCTTCTCCTCCTCCTCCTCCTCCTCCTCCTCCTCTTCCTCCTCCTCCTCCTCCTCCTCCTCCTCCTCCGCCCCGCCCCTGGTGGCGGCTCGGTTCTGTAGTCGATGCCCCACTCGAACAGCGCCGACCCAAGAGATCCGATCAGAGCTCCGAACGTTTGTACTCATGCCGTTTTTTCGGCCACGCGCAGAGGGGGGGTGTGGGAGGGGGTGAGGCTGCCTATAGAAGCCCCCCTTGTCTTTAGATGTAAGGCCGGCGCCTTCCAAGAAGCAGGCTCTTTCTACGAAGCCTTCCCCCCCTCCACCCCTACAGTGGAGGCCCATGCCAAGAAACACCCTGCCTGCCTCCAGGGTGCCCTGGGTTTCTCGGGTCTCGATGGTTTTGCTGTGACCGGCGTGGTGCTCCCACACCAAGAATCAATGGACGCCCTGACGAGTCTCAGGGTTGGGTGTCTGGTGGAAGGCGTCCTGTGGTCGGGTCCCTGCTGTACCCCTCCCTGCGTGCGCGCCGCCAAGCTTTCCGCTCCTCGCGGCAGCGACCTCATGGAGCAGTTCAGCCTCCGGGCCGCCGCGGTGGGGCCCTCCTCCCGCGAGGCCGCCCGCTGCGGGGACGCCAAGGCCAGCCTCGCTGCGAAGCAGGAGGCCCTGGAGGCGCTCCGGCAGCGCGCGGAGGCGGCGGCCGCGGAGGCGCAGCGCCAGGAGGAGGAGCGGGGCAGCGTAGGGCTCGAGCACGCTTCTAAGTCGCGCGTGTCCCTCCACAGGAAGAATAAGTAATCAAATTAGTTTCAAGATGGTTCGTCTGGGAACGATGCTTGGGGTATGCTCGGGCACTTTTCGATGATTGGTTGACTACCTTCTGCAGTTCGCCCAAGATCCGCCTGTGGGAGGACACGCCCGACCGCAGAGTACGCCAGAGCTCGGGTGTGCCGACGCCTTTCTGACGAGCGCGCCCTCGAGCTTGACGGTCCAGTTTTCGCGGGACGTCCGCAGCGGGAGCCAACGTGTAACCTCAGAGTGGGTCTCGTCGTTTTCATGATGGCCCCGTCAGGCCAGCCCGAGTCCCCAGAACGCGCGGCTTACGCCCCCCCCCGTTGAGGAGGAAGCGGCCATCGCGGCGAGGGTCGCGGAGGCCGAGCGCAGCCTGCGTGAGAAGCACGCGGCGATGGAGGCGCAAGACAAGGATCGAGGAGGGGCAAAACGGCATGACCGCGAGTTGTCGGCCAGGCTGATGATCTTCCTTCTTTCGCCTTCTTGATCACGAAGAAGAGTTTCGAGCACCAGGACAGTGCCCGAAGCTGGAGGTCGTTCACGTGTCGGGCCCTGGGAGGCGATACTCGTTCGACACTGTTTCGATACTTTTCTTGGTGCTCGAAATTATTTCTGGGATGTGGTCCTTAAGTACGATGGGAGCTACAGAAGGCTAGGCGCCCCTGCCTTTCGCGGGCGAAGGACGGTATACTGTAAAAACCTCGTCGCCGTCGGGGACGCCTGTCCCAGGGCGGCTGGAAGTTTATACCCCTACGGTGGCACGGCAGAAATTTCCCAGCCGCCATGGGACAGGCGCCCCCGGTGAGGGAAACAATGACGTTATACTTTTATTCGCCAGCTAATCCCTGGCGCGCGGAGCGAGCCGGGGGCTGCGCCAGATGCGCCGCCAGGAGCTCCGCGCAGACCTCCGGAAGTTAGTGTTTACGCATCTGTTCTTCCAAAGGAGTTCCTGAAGGAGCAGGAGCTCCTGCGCGAGCACAACGAGAAGCTGCGGCAGGCCCTGCAGCTGGAGCAGCATGACTCCGTCAGCATCGACCAGCGCGCGGTGCTGCACCAGCAGTGCGGCACCGAGGCGGAAGGCGTGCGCAACGAGGTCCAGAACATCCTGGCCACCATGCCGCAGCTTGCGGAAACCCTGGCTGCTCGCGGAAAATACGTGCACAGCGCCGAGGTGCCAGACGATCCGGTGGATGTTGCCATGCATGCTTACCTGCGCGGCCTCGGGCCTGCGGGGACCCGACCGCCGGCCGTCGTGTGCCGCCTGGGTCCCGGGGATTACGTGGTGGACAAGGAGCGCATGGCGGTGAGCGTGGAGCAGGGCCAGCTGCTCATGCGCAGCGCCTCCTCCAGCGGGGCCGTCGCCGTCAGCGGGGCCGTCGCCGCCAGCGAGCCCGCCCAGGCCACCCCCGCCGCCACCGTCACCGTTGCCGCCGAGCCCGCCAAGGCGGCCCCCCCCGCCGCGGTGAGGCCCATGCGCCAGCGCTCCAGCATCTGCTGATGCGGAGGAGGAGGAGGAGGAGGAGGAGGAGGAGGAGGAGGAGGAGGAGGAGGAGGAGGAGGGAGGAGGAGGAGGAGGAGGAGGAGGGAGGAGGAGGAGGAGGAGGAGGAGGAGAGGAGGAGGAGGAGGAGGAGGAGGAGGAGGAGGAGGAGAGGAGGAGGAGGAGGAGGAGGAGGAGGAGGAGGAGGAGGAGGAGGAGGAGGAGGAGGAGGAGGAGGAGGAGGAGGAGGAGGAGGAGGAGGAGGGAGGAAGGAGGAGGAGAGGAGAGGAGGAGGAGGAGGAGGGGGAGGAGGGAGGAGGAGGAGGGAGGAGGAGGAGGAGGAAGGAGGAGGAGGAGGAGGAGGAGGGCCAGGCCACGTCTGAGGGGCCACGGGCCCCCGAGGATCAGTCAGCAGTATCGAAGTGGGTACGTTGACCAGCAGCAAGTCCTGTTCACTCTGGCAGGGACTCGCTGCCGGTCTCGCCATGCGCCAGCGTTCAAGCATTTGCTGACGCGGCGGAGGAGGAGGAGGAGGAGGAGGAGGAGGAGGAGGAGGAGGAGGAGGAGGAGGAGGAGGAGGAGGAGGAGGAGGAGGAGGAAGAGGAAGCGGAAGAGGAAGAGGAGGAGGAGGAGGAGGAGGAGGAGGAGGAGGAGGAAGCAGGAGGAAAAAGGAGGACGTGGAGGAGAATGCAGGAGGAATGAGGATGAGAAAGCAGGAGGAAGGAGGACGAGGAGGAGGAGGAGGAGGAGGAGGAGGAGGAGGAGCGCCGCGACCCGCGGGCCCAGCCGCGCCTTCCCCCCGCGCACCCGCGCGGCAGTCGCCGGCCCGCCCGCCCGCCCGCCGCCCCGCTCGGTCCGAGCAAAGCCCTCGGAGCGGGCCGGCGCGAAGGCCGCCCCGCCCTCGGCAGATGCCGTGGGCGCGCGCGAGGAGGAGGTGCTCGCCACGAAGCAAGCAGGCCCCGAAGGTCTGAGAAGCACACTTGCCTCTTAGAAGGCCGGGGCTTTATCTATAGATGTAAGGACGGCGCCTTCTACGAAGCAGCCTCCTTCTAAGAAGCCTTCCCCGGCCTTGCCCCCTCCCTCTACCCTCTTTGTGCGCGCCGCCAAGGGTCGGGCCGGACGAAAGGGAGGGACAGGGAAAGGGGGGCTACGAAATCTGCGGCATGCAGCTGGTTTCGGCCCCGCCGCTGGGACCATTCCTCGATACATGGCCGCCTCCCGGCGCCGGAAGGCGCCGGGAAAATCAGCCACGTGAGCTGATTCTCAAACCCCCATTTTGCCATCCCCCCCTTTCGCCCAGCTCGAGAAGGAAACCGGGGCTCATTCGGGGCGTTCCAGAACAGGCCTTGCCTGCGAGGATCGAAGGAGTTGTCGTCTCTTCCTCGATGGAAGGCGGCGGAAGGGCGGTGGAAGGCCGCGAACATCGAACGGCGGCGGCTCCGCGGGCGGAGGCTCGGCGGAAGCAAGAGTCGACCTCCCAAGAGATGTCATCATTTTGGGGTTCAGGGTTTCCGGAATCCGCCTTTTCGACCCCTCCGGCTCGACTCGATTCGATTTCCATCGAGCCCGGTTCCGATTCCGATGCGACTCGGCCTCGGATTCAAAGCCAGCCTTCGGTTCTCAGTGGAGGCCTTAACTCAGGAGGGAAAGAAACACACAGACACAATTAATCGCAGATTCCCCAGAAAATATGGGAAAACATGGGAAGTGGGGGCGATGACAAAAACCCAGAAAATATTGGAAAATATGGGGAATCTTTTTATTTGTGTGTATTTATATAAGTGTCCCAGGGCCCCTTCATTAATAGCCTGCCGATTCCGCCGATCCGACTTCTCCCGACGTGGCTGCCGAGTTCCGCCGATCCGTGCCATTCCGGAGGCCTTCGCCGTGTGCGGGCCCCCTGAGGCCCTCCGCGGGCCCGGGGACCGTCCGAGAGTGACTCAGAACGAGCAGCTGCCTTTGCTCCACAGTTTCCGAGGGCCCAGGGCCCTCCAAGACCATCAGAAAGCGGCTCGCGACGGACAGTTTTTTTTGTTTTCCAAGGAAGGCCCCTCAGAACGAGCAGCTGTCTTTGCTCCACAGTTTCCGAGGGCCCAGGGCCCTCCAAGACCGTCAGAAAGCGGCTCGCGACGAACCAAAACAAAAATCCAAGGAAGGTGACGAACCAACAACACACACACACACCCATACCCATAGGGGGATCGGAGAGGGCTATGGGTGCGTGATGTCGGATGGGGGTCCCCGCTCGAACGGGAGCGTTCCCCAGGGCCCGACAACCCGCACCCATACCCATAGCCAGTCCTCCTCCCAACGACCCCCCTCTTGGTATGGGTGCGTGTTGTCCGTTCGTCAGAAGGCTATTTATTATTAGTAAGGTTTTTTGAAAGGTTGTTATGAATGATTATCACTTGTTTAAATAATCTTCCAGGGAAGGCCCCCTTAGTCCAGGATCTGTGTTCTTCGGGCCCAGTCTGCTTCGTGCCGGGCCGTCTTCGGCACAGCCGTCGGCGCGGCGCGCGCGCGATGTGGACACCACCTGCACGGACGCGGCGGGGCCCGTGCCGACCGTCGAGAGTCGAGAGGGCCGAAGAGGGTTCTGCAAGGGCGCCTTCGATGGGCGCGGAGTTCTTCGCGCTTCGCGCCCTCCTCCTCCTCCTCCTCCTCCTCCCCTGGGAGGCGGCGCGGGAGCGCGAAGTGATGGGCGCTTCGCGCCTCGCGCAGCGCGCAGCGCGAAGTTGGGAGCCCCCGGTTCTGGCGGCGTTCGGGCCCGCCTCGCCGAAGCTCTTGCCAGAGCGCAACCAAGCAGAGGTCCCTGGGAGGGGGGGGGCCCTGCAGGAAGACGTGCCCTTCGAGCTTATCCGCCGCCTTCGGGGCCCAAGGACTCTCCGGGGGTCGAGATGAGCTGTGTGTTGGCGAGTTCGTGGGCCGTTTTCGCTTTGATTTCGTTTTCGTTTTGATTTCGTTTTCGTTTTGATTTCGTTTTTTGGTGTCGTTTTGAACGACGACAGCGGGAGGGAAAACGAAAACAACACGACAACGGAAAACATGGCTCAGCTCGAGCCCTGGGGGCTTTCCGTGGTCCCCTGAGCCGTCGACAGACGACCCGGCACGAAGAGCTGGTCATTTGGAGAGCTCTGGGGTCTAGGACTCCATTCCCCCGAGGGCCTCTTTCTCTCATGGCGGTGAAACTCAGAGCGTGGATGACCTACCCCGCTTTCGCTTCCAGGCAAATCCAAGTCATACCACGCGCCTCCTCGTCAAGCGGCCTGACCAGCGCAGGTCGTAGTTCGGCGTCGCTTGGTATCTCTTGGAAGCGAGGGTGGTCAAAAGCGAGGGGTATCTCTTTGTTTGCGCCTTAGAAACCGTTCCAGAGCGCTCGCAGAACACGCCTGGGCGCTCTGCCACGGCCGCCGCACTCGATGCGCCCTCTGGACCCGCTGGCTCTGTCAGGGATTCCCGATTCATCCGCGTCCTCACCTCGTCCTCCTGATTCCGCCACGGCACCGTCGGCTTGCGCCCCTCTCTCTCCTCGTCCCCCTGAGGGAGCAGGGATGGAGGGAGGGGACGATGAGGAGGGAGGAGGGGTGCTAGACAAGGTGGAGGAGGGGAGGAGGAGGACACTGAAGAGGAGGAGGGGGAGGAGGAGAGGGGGAGGAGGAGGAGGAGGAGGAGGAGGAGGAGGAGGAGGAGGAGGAGGAGGAGGAGGAGGAGAGGAGGAGAGGAGGGGAGGGGGGGCAGCAGTAGGGCAGCGTTGGCACGAGGAGGAAAGGAAGGGGAGCACGACGAGGAGCGGGAGGAGGAGGGGGGGAGGGGGATTAGGCCAGAAACACAGTGCGTGCACATGAACGCCTGAAGGTTTCGAGAGTCTGCATTGCGCGAGCGCTCGAAACACACGGCTGGCCTCGTCGGACTGGGGGGTCGGGTTCATGTACGCGGCTGGGTGCGTACGTTTGTGGGGGTTCCCTGGGGCAATGATGTCGTTTGTTTGTTTTACGTGGACCCAAACTAGACCTCGTCTTCCCTGATCTCAGCGCGTGCAACCCTGCACTGGTTTGTTGCACCTTTGGGGGTCCAGCGGGCTGACGTCTTGACCGTCCCACGCAGACCCCAACTCGCCTCGCCCTGCATGCTCAGTACGTGCAACTGTCGCCACTCTCGAGCTCCCTTCGGGTGTCAGCGGGGTGGCGTCCTTCGCATACCCCAACTAGACATCTCTCTCCCTACACCACACTCACATCTATACCCCTGGGTGGGTGTATGTGCGGCCGTGTTTGCGCTGTCATGTGCGCGCATGTGCGCGGCATGTGCCACTCATGTGCCAGGCCTGTGCGGTCCTTCTTGGATGGACTTCCTACTGTGCACGTCGTGCCCGGGCATGTGCGAGAGCATGTGCGCTGTGTTTTGATGTATCCATCATACGCACATGCACAGTCCGACGCACATGCGCGCACATGCCTGCACATGCGGGAGGTGTTCGAGAATCGCAGATCTGTCATCGGCACATGCACGCACATGCCTGTGCAACCTCTCTTCGGGAGGCCGCGCGGGCCCGCACATGCACGCACATGCGGTGAAGCGCGCGGGCGCACATGCGCGCGCATCCCAATGCACATGCACGCTCATGCCCTAGGAGCTGTCAGGGACCCCTGTGCCTCCAATGCTTCCTGGCCTTCGCAGAGCTAACCTGGGGCGTGCCAGGGCTTCCTGAAAGAGTCTGCTGTGCGTTTAGACTCGCCCGCTGCTGACGGGGGCGGTTCTTCGCCCGGTTCGTGAGCTGGCGGCGGCGCGCCCGCCTAATGAAATACTCTCCCGCGCGCCTTCTCAGCTCGGCCGGAGAAACAGGGATTGGGGGGGGGAGGTGGAGGGGGGGGGGAGGAGGGGGGGGCGGAGGAGGCGGGCGCCCCCGGCTCGGCCGGCCCGCCTGCCTGTTCGGCTCGGCCAGAGGAGAAGGAGGAGGAGGAGGAGGAGGAGGAGGAGGAGGAGGAGGAGGTGAGAGTTGCGAGGATGTCTCAGGCGAAAGTGGCTTGACGGCCCGAGCTCAGGGAATCTCGGAATCGCTGGCCTGGCTCGGCCACCGGCGAGCTCGGCCTGTGCGAATACTGTGCGTACCTGTGCAGTGCATGTGCGGGACGTGCAAGAATGCCGGGGCCGGCGTTCGTCTCCGGACGCCGGCGCGTTCGCGTCCGGCCAGTTCCGCGTGAGACGTCGTCAGCAATCTGGAGGCCGACGTGCTTTGACATGAAGTGATCTGGCCACCTTCGCTTGAGACATCCTCGCAACTCTGGTCTCGGAGATGCCCTGCCCCATGGTGGCCCGGCCACTTTCGCTTGAGACATCCTCGGGACTCTGAGTTTTGAGACGCCCTGAGCTGAGGTGGTTAGACCACTTTCGCCTGAGACATCCTCGCAACTCTGACCTCAGAGATCTCCTGCCCCATGCTGGTCAGGCCACGGTCGCCTGAGACATCCTCGCAAGTCTCGATTCCGATATGCCCCGAGCTGAGGTGGTCAGCCACTGTCGCCTGAGACATCCTCGCAACCCTGATCTCAATGATGCCCTGCTCGATAGTGTCTCGGCCCCTTTCGCCTGAGACATCCTCGGAACTCTGGGTTCCGAGACGCCCTGAGCTGAGGTGGTTAGACCACTTTCGCTTTAGACATCTTCGCCCGAGATGCCCTGAGTTGAGCTGTTCAGGCCACTTTTGCCTGAGACATCCTCGCAACTCTGACCTCAATGATGCCCTGCTCCATAGTGTCTCGGCCTTTTTCGCCTGAGACCCTCGCAACTCTGGGTTCTGAGATGCCCTGAGCAGGTGGTCAGGCCAGTCCTGCCTGAGACATCCTCGCAACTCTGGGCTCCGAGATGCCCTGGGCTGAGGTGGTCAGACCACTCTCCCCAGAGACATCCTCGCAACTCTGACCTCAGAGATCTCTTGCCCCATGGTGGTCAGGCCACTTTCGCTTGAGACATCCTCACAACTCAGACCTCGGAGGTGTCCTGCCCCATGGTCGTCTGGTCACCTTGACCAGCGACATCCTCGCCACTCTGGTTTCCAAGATGCCCTGCCCCATGGTGATCCGGCCACGCTTGCCTGAGACATCCTCGGAACTCTGGGTTGCGAAATGCCCCGAGCTCAGGTGGTCAGGCCACTATCGCCTGCGACATCTCTGCGGCATGTGCGGGCATGTGCGTCTATGCTTTCAGAGTTTTGCTTGACCGTGCATTCGACTGTGCGTCGGACGGTGTGGCATGTGCGCGCATGTGCGGCAATGCTGTTGAGGCTTTTGTATATTTGCATGGGCATGTGCATGCGACTGTGCGGCATGTGCCTGCATGTGCGGCCCCTTCCAGACCACAATTTCAAAGTGAGCAATATAGAAGTGAGCGCTATAGAAGTGAGTCCGGTGTATATGCACGCCGCTGTCGACACTTTCCTGCGCCCCAGGGAGGTCCACGGGAATACGCCGTCATACCACGCAGAGACCCAAGTCTGACCTCGCCGTCCAAGGGTGCTGCCTGGCGCGAGACTGCCGCCACCTTGCTGCGCTCCAGTGCGTCCAGCGGAGTGGCGGCGTCCTGCGAAAACCCCGCTCTCCCAGAAAGCTGCCAGACAGGCAATTGTCACAGTTCTGCTGCGCCCCCGGGGGGGGGGTCCAGTTGGCGGCGACCTAATAGGAAACACAACCACAACGAAGAGGATGTTGCATGTCAAGTCGGGGAACACCCACCGACCTCGACATGAACACTTTGGTTGTGGTTGTGGTCGGTCTGGCCGTCCTGGGACACGACACCGACCACCACCAGCACTCAGCTGGCTTCGGCATTATGACGGTTGTTGGCACGTGTAGGACACCATCCAGGGTACGTCCTCGATGTGGTTGTAGTCGCCTGTTGTCCCCGCATATTCAGTGATGCTATATACGGCCTTCAACGAGGCCTCGTTTGCTCGACCCGGGGGAGTCCAGTGGAGTGTCATGCCGAGTCTAAAGACGTGTTGCTCGTCTGGTCGGCGCCTGGCGAAACATCTGCCGCCCTTTGCTTGCGCCCGCTGGGGGTGGTCCAGCGGAGCGGCGCCCCGCGCGGATCCATAGTGAGACCTTCGTCAGCCCCAGGATCTGCAGTCAACCCGCCTAGTAAAGATGCGCAATTTTCTTCAGTTACCCGTGCATCCTTGGCTGCTTGTGATGGACTCGCCCCGCTCGCAAATAGTCGGCATGGTCTTTGAAGGCCTTTGCATCCTTATCAGCCTGACAGCGCTCCTGCATGACAAGGGCACGAGAGAAAGAGAGAGAGAGAGAGAGGGAACGAGAGATCGGCCGGCATGCCTCGTCGTTGCCCGTTCTTTGTCCTCTCTCATCGTTGCCTTTGCTCTCCGGCGCAATTCCTACACCTCCCCATCCGCTTAGCATCCCCGTTACGATATCTGTCGCCTCATCATATTGTATACGACCTGGGCGGAGGAGGAGGAGGAGGAGGAGGAGGAGGAGGAGGAGGAGGAGGAGGAGGAGGAGGGGGAGGAGCAGGAGGGGGAGGGGGAGGGGGAGGAGGAGGAGAGGGAGGAGGAGGAGGAGGAG